CAGACCTGTCCTGGTAGTAGCTGTAGTAGCAGCCCAGGTGATGGCCACAGACCTGTCCCACGTGATGGCCACTCCCAGACCTGTCCTGGTAGTAGCTGTAGTAGCAGCCCAGGTGATGGCCACAGACCTGTCCTGCTACGCTGACAAAAAGGGCTGGACCGCATACTAGCACAGGTCCTTGGCCATGGCTTCTCGCTACGCTGTCCCGGGCGCCGCCCCGCCTAGGCATCTAGGCCAGGGTCGGCGGATATATATTTTTTTTAATAGATATATGTATGTTGATCATGTTTCAAAACTCAGTTCTTACAGCTTCGATCCGACATGCAAATTCTGTAGCAAGCTTTCGTGCTCCGCTTCACGACGCTGAGTGTTCATTTGTTTTCAGGGTGCATCACGTAGTAGCAAGGATCTGAGTTGTGTCTTGCGAAGTCTTGCCTTTGTATTCTGAAGCAGGTTCAGGCAACCCCTAATCCCTCTATGTGCCGATTGGTGAGGCCTTAACGATCTCTTTGAATTGGCTAGTTTTTGCCCCAGAGCTGAGTTGAGCATGTTGCGTGTGCACCAAATTTGAGTGAGGTGCTGAGAATAGGGACCTTCTGGGGTTGTGTTGTGTGGCTCTTAGGCATCCTGTCTTGCAACCTTGCCTAGTTTTGCCTTGCTTCTCCTACCCAAAGGTGCTCCTGACTGAAGCTACAACTCCTTGCCGGCCGCTCAAACAATTTTTTGAGCGCTTCATCAAATTGAGAATCGTTCCTAAATGTACACAACGCTTGACAAGGCCTCGTGGGGACACGAATGATGAAGGTTGGGCACGCCGGCTGGAATTGATTCGGCGATGTTGCGCAAGATTTGCACCGTCGGCAATCTAGTCCCACTTTTGCTGGACAGGATTCTGGCTGGACGAAAGAGTGCATTGGCTAAGTCACAAAACATAAACAATTGCCCATCAAACGCCCTGACAGCAGAAGAGTCCTTCAAGATTGCGGTCAACGGTCCTTTGCAGAAATGAGTAGATACAGAAATCACAATTCTCGTTGTGATGTTTGAGTTTACTCATGAGGCCGGTCTACAAGTTGTGCGTTGCATGCTTTTGGCTTTGCTGGCTTGCTCGTGACTCAGAAATGAGATAGTGTCGTTTTATGCACGGTTGTAAACAAGTAAACCAACTGTTCTTCTCCTGTTTCCGACCATTGCGGGGTGTGGGTTGGGCCAGGATGATTAGGTTGAATGACTACGTGGCAAAGTGCCTTTTTTCCCAGCCCCCTCACATAGAACATCAGATTCGCTGTTGGGAGTGGTGCTTCTCACGGATGCTTGTGCAAATCTTCTTGAATGTCATGCCGAAGAGCTTTCCAAGAAACTGTGTTCTTTTTTGAGATTCTGAAGTGCGCAGAACACAAGAGTTTTGTTTGTCCGTTATGGAGAAGTGCCTTTTGCGGTCAAAAAAGAAAGCATCCACGAAACCGAACAGCAAAACGCAAAAAACACGTATTCTTTGTCACTGTCAATGGAGCGCATTTGATGAAACACAGTTGGTTTCGCACGTCTGGAAATTTGCAGCACTCAATCGCTTCATCCTGTTGTGAAATGAATTGAATGCGCCAATATACGCGTTTGATCTCCGACGAGGCGAGATGCTAGGGATTGCTAGGGTATGTTGTTACAGACAGATTAGAAAGATACACAGACGGAAATAGACAGCTAGCGAGCTAGGTAGGTAGGTAGGTAGACGGCCTGATAGAGTTTGTGCTGGCATTAGCTTGCTGTTGCTAGCAACCTACTTGTAGGTCCCGTTGTTTCTTTCTTGCGGCCAAGTCTTCTGACAGAGCAAGCAGCAGCTTCATGTGAGTTGACCTGGCGGGTGCGGTGGAGCGGCCGCCAGAGGACACACTCACGGCTGCTGTGTAGCCTGTGCGCCTCGATCTGGAAGAAACTGCCGACTGAATCACGCTGGCGACGTTTGAACCAAACAGACAAAACACGTAGAATGACAGGAGCCGCGTGCTACGGGTTTTTCAGAAGCTGCACAAAAGTCGAAAAGTTTGGCTAAGAGATGTACAGTAAGTTTCCACCCTGAAATCGAATCCCTAGCAACTTGCAGAGGAGAGGGAGGTGGAGGACCGCAGTCAGTGCCAAATGCAAGCATGTGTCTTTCACTTTTGAGGAGGCATGAAGGCAGAAAATATGTAATATTGTGTTTCTTTGATCCTTCTGACATCCTGACTAATGGTAAACACCCAAGTCCGGGACCCAAGCCACTCAAGGCATTGCCCCTTTGGACTCAAGAAGTGACGATGAGGAGCTACTAGTAGCGTCCTTTGCTCCTAGTAGCGATGCCCTTGTTCCTGGTAGCGATGCCAGGAGCCCCTAGTAGCGTCGTTGCTCCTATGGCCACAACCAACCTTTTCAAGTGACATTGGTTTGTCTTTTTCTTTGCGTTGAAAACCTGAGGGCGCACACGAGAACCAAAAGCGGCAAAGCAACCACAAACAATAATTTTTTCCCTGAAAGAATGCAAATGCAATGTCATTGCAAGCCCATAAGGCGATTGGCCCAAGAAGCCACAAGCCTGCACAGCGTTGCTTGGGTTGGCTGGCATCCTGTCAAAGCTCCTTTGGTTTGTTTTCGCACTACACAAGGCACAGACACACACCCGAGCACGCTCAGAGATTGGACCCACGGCTCCAAGGTTCCAAGTTGCACCACACCTTGCACAGCACCCACAGTTCCAAGGTATGAGGTTTGAAGACCCGGCAGCACCCAAGGTTTTCACAGCACCCTGCATGGTGCCCAACACCGTCCAGAGCTCCAGCGTTAAAAGCTTCAAAATGGGCACCGCAAGGACACACACACACACAAATCCGGGATTGAATTCCAGTTTTCGGTTGCTGGAGGCAAACTCAGCACCACCCCCGCCCCAAAGATTTGTAGTGGGATTACCACCATACCTTCTGGCGGCCCCTGCGCTCCCAAACGGACCAAAACACTGGCAACACCCCCAAACCAGAAGCACGGCCAATCGTATCACACTGCAGTTCCAAGGAAAACGAAACCTTTTCAATTTGCATCAATTTGTGTAATTTGGCATGTAAAAGCAAAGGTGTAAATAGATCAATGATTTTCAATGATCAATGTTTGATTTATAGCTATTAGATGTTTGTGTAGGAGAAGCACTTGTGTTGTGGAAAAGAGCTCTTTGCAGGGTATACACAAGAAATCACAAGAATCATCGACGTGGAATATAGGCCCCTGGAAGACTATTTTCCTCAGGTTGTCAGCTTCCGTAGTTGTTGCAGGGAGGGTACTGTGTTCAGACGGCACAGTTTCAGGTGAGTGTCAAACAATCGAGGTACGAGGGTCATTTTCGGCCTTCAGATTCTGAGGCTGTTCGGATCGCTTGGCTGCTGGCTATGCTCTCACTCTTCTGTCGAGATCTTTTATTTGGACTGCGGGGGGTCCCAAGCGTGATATTACACAAGGATTCAAGCAAATACAGTAAATCACACATTTTGCAGTAGGGCGATATATAGAAATCTTTTGAGGAAGTGCACACTTCGCTTGAAAGGGGAATGCAAAGTAGACGATTGGTCCTCTCTTTCGCCAAAGGAGTGCTTTGTGAGGAAGATATGTGTTGATGAAAAAAACTGTCAAAACACAACATCAACCCAAATACAACCGGGCTATTGTCATGGTAGGCACTCCTACTTGTGCGTGTTGAAAACACAGAACCATAGTCTGGGTTTGGGTCGCAAGGTTTGTGTTGCCTTTGCGCACGTGCTTTCTTTTTGCCTCCCAGCGGGGCAACAAAAAGGAAACAAATACGTGCTACCCACCATGTGATGCCGCCATGTTTGGGGCCAAGGCCAGAACACGTGCCTCTATATTTCGTTGCAGTGAACGGGCGCGCTGTCTCAGAGTTTCAGCTTTGCACATTGCAACTACTTAGAACTACTTTTCCGATCACAGAACGACGATTGCCAAGATTTGCAAAGATTCAATTCGGCACACAAACGCTTCGCTGCAGGCTGTCAGTACTAGGGCTGTTGGTCCTGAGTTGCGTTTGGTTCGTGCCCATAACTCGTATATTCTACCAAGTAATGCTGCAACCTCAGTCTTGTCAATGAAAACTAAGCATCAGGGCAGATGAAACATAGGTGCTGCAGTCCATGACTGAGGACCGGGAAATCCCGACAACGATGAACTTGGGAGAAAAAGCCGCATAGACCAACAGATGCACACGACAACTGACATTCCAAGTTGCAAAGTCAACCACCCCAAATTTGCATGCCTTGATTATATGTGTATATAATCCTTCTACCTGACTTGCAAAAGTGGTACCCTCTACAGAATGCATCATGCGCACTTTCTCCATTTTTGGAACAACTGTTTCTCTTATGCTGTACCTGTCCCCTTCCAGAACCTTCTCATTTTGTAGAGAGTGTCCCTGTCCAAAATGCCCTTGTGCGTGGGCATTTTGTAGAGACTCTGTTTTTGACCTTGGATCACGAGTTTGTGATTCTGTAGGCCTCTGAGAACAACTTGTTTGATTTGTAACCACAGAATGCTTAAACACCACCTCACCTGGGTAACTCACAGGGCGATTGTATACAATATATATATAATGTTCCAGTCATCACTAGCACTTGTTCGTGCTGTATTCAAAGGGTTCTGCAGCAAGAGGGTAGAGCTGTCCGTTCCCCCAGAAAGTTGATTGTACAAATGTTGCCGCTAGTAGTAGTAGTAAGAATGCTCCTAGTAGCGATGCGTGGAGCCACTAGTAGCTTCTTTTTGCCGCTAATAATGTCGTTGCAGAAGTTTGTTTTGCGAAGCAAGGGTTGAGCTGTCGGGGATGTCGGGGAGAGACCCCCTTGCTCTGATCGATGAATACTATGTCATGGATTTCTGGGTGCCAACTCTGGAATCTCACCTTCCACAAAAAAATACACATCGGTACTCTCAGACGCCCGTTTCTGCTGCTCGAGATTATAGTTGTCCACCATTGCCACTGTTTATTCTAGATCCAATTGAACAGACCAGTCATCAAATTGTTGTTGCATGACAAATCTTTAAAGTTCCGCTGATGTGGCCTTGATCATTGCAGTGATGGAGCACAAGGAGTTGCTGCCATTCCAAGTGCAAGACTTGGTCCTGTAATGCCCTGTCACTTTAGGGAAGATTCTTTTCTAAGCCTGCTGCACCATCGAGTCAAATACTGCTGGCAGCTTTGCAGAAAAGAACTCGAAACCTGGCAACTCAGCCATTGCGGTTGCAGGAGTTGCCATCGCCCTATGAGCTTCCGAATGCGCACAGCGAAGAGGTTTCGCAGGTTCTTGACACATTCGACTTACAAAAATTGTGGAGGGTAGCGCCTCAAAATGTTTCAGAAAACGCGACCATCAGCGTTCGCAATCCAAAAACAGGACAGCGACAGCCACTGTACTTGGAAGTGTGAAAGAGGTGTTGAGGACGGAATTGTGTTGAAGACCTTCCACGTTGCATTCCTAGTAAGCAGTTTGCGATGTGGTGCAATAAGTCTTAGTGTTGTGTATCCTCAAGACATGGTGCAAAAATATGCAAACCTTGCAGGTGGATGGATGTAGTTGGTGTTCTGGATGTAAGCCAAAATGGTCATCGTGCACAAAGGGGTGAAGATGCAAAGCAACTCCGCCTCTGCATGGCCTTCCTTGTCGAAAACGGCAAGTCACTCAAATCGACTTGTCAGGAGTTGATCGATGAGCTTGGCGCCCTACACAAAGATCTAAAAGAGGCAGTTCGACGGCAGGAGCTGCGGGCATTGTCACGCTGTGCAGACTTGGCAGTGTTGCAGAGCCAGGCTCATGAACGTGATCTGCAAAAAGTCCTCAAGACCACCAAGCCAAGACCTCCGCAAGAGCAGGTGCAGTTGTGTTTACAGTAATTTCAGCGGTGTTTCTACTATGTGATTTCATTACTTTTATTCGGCGCAAAGAGCGTCGCTTATTACAGCATGTTATATAATGTATTCATGACAGGACATGCCGTCACCACCCAGCGAAGCAGAGCTTGCAGACTTGTCGCCTGCCAGGCGCATACGAAAGGTCTTTCTTTCCACGGAAACAAAGAAACAAAACCCAAAATCGTCCTGGCAAGAGACATCGAACAGCGCTATATAAGTAGAAGAACAAGGGTGAACAAGCCAACTTCCGCACTCTATAGAGCACACACTTAGATAAAGGCTCGCAAGAGCAGAATCAGTTGACGAAGTCCCAGTTGCACTAGCCCTTTAAAGGAGGTTGAAAATTTGCAGGTACGTGGAAATGGCGTCCCATTTCCATATGCTCGGATACATCGCCAGCTTCGTTGACCAGGCGACGATGTATCATGCATGCCTGGTCCCCTGCTGCTGTACACAGTCTGGCAACAATGAGTGAATTATGTGTTTTAACAGGTAGGAATCCTTAGCGTGGTCGAAGTCCTTAGAGACAGGAGTTGACACACACAAAAAGCCGTCATTCGGCCCACTCTGAGGGGTTGGTGGAGGGAGGGTGTGGAGAAAAATGGGACGCAACAATGTGCTTCGGGGGTTGAGCGGCGTCGTCGTCATCTTCTTCATCACTCGTAAAGGGCGGAGTCGAAAGGTGTGGGGAAGCTGTGGGTGGATAATACGTAGAAGTGGGCTGTGTCGGCGGTGGATATATGTGGGTGGGCCATGCCGGCCTTGAGGTTGGTCTCGGATTGGATGTGGAGGCATAGTTGGTAGTGGTTGAGCCTGTGGTGGAGCTGATGGGGCAAATGACATCGGAGGCCAGGCCGGGCGTGATGGAGGATCACTCGGAGGTGGTGTGGTATTGAGCAGGCACTGACGGTGGTACTGCAGGTACTGGACCATAAGTCGCGAAGGGAGCTGCTGAAGTATGCCACGGGTAGTGCACGGCGTCGAGCTCGATGGCGGAGCAAAGTCGAAACAAGTGAGTGTGTCGAGCAATGAATGAATGCTCCTTAAAAATCTCAGTAAAAATTCTGACTCAGGCTGATTACTTAGCCGAAAACCTGTCCTATGAATACGTAGCCGCATGTCATGTCATTCTTTGAGGGTATCTCAGTGAGCCCTGGGGCATAAAATCAGCACTTTCGAGCAGGAGACGCTGAGCCAACGAAGTCCACGTGCAATCCGAGGAATCAGGGAGGATCATCCTCAAGGGTATGTGCACATGCCGCGCCCCTCGCTGGGGATCACACCACAGCCCTCAGTGGGACTCTGTGGCGATACACACTTAGATAAAGGCTCGCAAGAGCAGAATCAGTTGACGAAGTCCCAGTTGCACTAGCCCTTTAAGGGGGTTGAAATTTTTCAGGTACGTGGAAATGGCGTCCCATTTCCATATGCTCGGATACATCGCCAGCGTTGTTGACCAGGCGACGATGTATCCTGCCTGGCCCCCTGCTGCTGTACACAGTCTGGCAACAATGAGTGTGCTTTAACAGGTATAGGAATCCTTAGTGTGGTCAAAGGCCTTAGAGACAGGAGTTGACACACTCACAACCACACTTTTGGAAATGCGCGCTGATTTGTTTGCGGTTTGCTACACGCCAACCTGGGTTCCCAAATCCTGAAGAGGGCGAACAAACCTACGGAACCTAGAGGTCTTCAAGAGGAAGTAGGGCCAAAAGCTCAAGCTCGAAGGCGACGACCAGGTCGAAGTGCACACCTGCAGAACTCACTATAGTGCTTTACCAAAAGTTGGAGTAACAGCTTGTAAACGCCACAACCAAGCAGGTACGCCCAGAAGGCGTCCCTTCCGGATATCAGCCACAATATAGGCCTCTTCGTTGGGCAATCAACTGCAATGTGGGATTGCCCCCCTGCAACTGTAACAACCTTCAAAAACAATCCAAAAGGACCCCTGTGATTCCAAGGGTTACACACACACGCCTCCCCGAGGGGAGGCAAAAAGAATTAAGGCTAGGACGGTTGTGGAAGTGTGCGCGCAGCAAAGACAAAAGGATGAAGACGTGAGAAGGAGGACGAGATGGGACAAATGTGTGTGTGTGTGTGTAACCCTTGGAATCATAGGGATCCTTTCGGATTGTTTTAGCTTCACAGTTGTTTCCTTGTGCAGCAGGGGAACTGGGCACTCTGTGACTGACCCAGTTCAACGAAGCTAGGTCACAGAGTGGGATATTCGGACTGATCATCCGAACGTACCTGCATTTTTCCAATTTTCCGCATGGCGTGAGGCTAAGCCAAGAACCTCAAAGACTTGGTACTTCATGTTGCTGCAGACATGCGCGACACGACGTCATCTTGTCGGCTCGTCGATCGTCTTCTTCTTCCTTTTGGGCCCTACTTCCTCTTGAAGACCTCCAGGATCCAGTGGTTCGTACATGTACCCTTAGGAATTGGAACCCTAGGCCGGCGTGTGGCACCGCTTTCAGTTCAGCACACCCTATCCTAAGTGTGTTTGGCCTCGTGCCAACCCGGGATGAGCCCGCAGAGTGCCTCCCGTGGACCCGTTGAACGGGTGTACGTCGTTATCTCCCCTGCCCGGAGATGTACGTGTCCACAGCGGACAGTAGCTGGCTTATGCCACAAGAACTCAAATTTTGTCCCATCTTTGGAATTCTAAGTTGGCTCAATGCCTTTACGTGACCGCAGCGGTCAGAGGTGGCAGCCCTCGGGCAAGCCGTACGTGGTCGCAGCGACCGAAGTTTGTTCAAGGTTCATTGGAACCTGTCGCGAGCTTAGTCCCTTCTCTCCCCCTCCCCTTCCCCCTTTCTTTCTTTGCTTCCTGGGGTTTTCCTGAATGCAACACTCAGGATCACCCCTCTCTTTCTTTGGTGTGTCCCTGGACGCTTGTTCGTAGCTGGGAACACCTGCCTTTTTCTTTTTTCTCTCCTCTCCCTTTCTCTCCCTCTCTCTTTCTTTCTTTCCTTCTCTCTCTCCTTCCTCCCTCCTTGGGTGTCCCTGGATTCTTTTGTCATAGCTGGGAACCTTCTCCTCTCTTCCTTTGGTGTGTCCTTGGACGCATGCGTCGTAGCTGGGAACACCTTCCTTTCTTTCTCTCATTTTTCTCGTCTCTCCCTACCCCTCCCTCTTGTCGGCACCTTAGCTTGGGATGCTACTAGGGGCTCCTGGCCTTCCTACTAGGTGTTAGGTGTTTCTTTGACGCTACTAGAGGTTCCTGGCCTTACCACTACTTGGGGACGAAGTACACGTCGTTGCCTCGTTGATTGGAATTCTTGCCTCCCCTCGGGGAGGCGTGTGTGTGTAACCCTTGGAATCATAGGGATCCTTTCGGATTGTTTTAGCTTCACAGTTGTTTTCCTTGTGCAGCAGGGGAACTGGGCACTCTGTGACTGACCCAGTTCAACGAAGCTAGGTCACAGAGTGGGATATTCGGACTGATCATCCGAACGTACCTGCATTTTTCCAATTTTCCGCATGGCGTGAGGCTAAGCCAAGAACCTCAAAGACTTGGTACTTCATGTTGCTGCAGACATGCGCGACACGACGTCATCTTGTCGGCTCGTCGATCGTCTTCTTCTTCCTTTTGGGCCCTACTTCCTCTTGAAGACCTCCAGGATCCAGTGGTTCGTACATGTACCCTTAGGAATTGGAACCCTAGGCCGGCGTGTGGCACCGCTTTCAGTTCAGCACACCCTATCCTAAGTGTGTGTTTGAAATGAAGAAGAAACCAAGTGCACAGGGACAAGCGATAAACCCCACCTCATTGTCAAGACCTGGCCGACCTGAGACCTGTGCTTTAAAAGTGTATGTAGAAGCGCGCGTACACACTAAGGCCGCGCAAACGAAGGAAAGGATGAGATGACAGAACATGAAGACAGGAGGACATGAAAGAAAAGAGGAAAACACATGTGTGCGAAGGGGAAAGGATGAAAAGGGAAACCAAAAGGAGGGGACGAAAGCCCAAGAACCCAAACCTCATGAACATGTACGTGCTGCGTGTGCACCTGAGGTGGAGACGGGCCCCAACGGACCCTTGAAGAACTCTGACCACGTGGAGGCGTTGAGCCAGCTTGGACCGCTGCAGTCACGTAAAGGCTTTAGAGCCAGCTTGCAGTTCAATAATTCATCAAACCTTGGCAAATGACTTTGGCATAAGCCTCCTACGCTCGCTGCAAGCTGCTCTGTATTCGGGGAGGGCATGCGTTTGACAAACCCCCGTTCAACGGGCCCACAGGTGCCACTCTGCGGGGCCACCCTGGGCTCTCACAAGGAGAGACGCACTTATAGAAATGCGTACTGCTTTGGTTGCGGTTTGCCACACGCCAACCTGGGTTCCCAAATCCTGAAGAGGGCGAACAAACCTACGGAACCTAGAGGTCTTCAAGAGGAAGTAGGGCCAAAAGCTCAAGATCGAAGACGACGACCAGGTCGTCCCTTCCGGATATCAGCCACAATTGCAGCCCTGTTCGTTGGGCAATCAACTGCATTGCCTCCCTGCAATTGGAACAATCTTCAAAAACAATCCAAAAGGATCCCTGTGATTCCAAGGGTTACACGCACACTCATTCAGTACCAAAATCCACGAAGAAATGAATGACGGAACGGAAAGGTGCAAAGTCAGCGCAACTGAAATGTTAAACATTATTTTTGCGTTAGCCCTGTACTGAATACTTACTTGGTGGTTCGTTTTTACTTGTGGCACTTGCAACTTAGTTAAGACACTTATAGGACTTAAGCAACTTGTAAGTAGTACTTAGGGAACTTCGGTCTTATCAGTTTTTTATTTATAACCGTAAGTTGTGTAAATTACTTGTAACTAACTTATAAGTTCTGTAAGTTCCTGGACGACCAAAAGTATAGTCTCAAACAAGTTTTTGAAAAAAAATTAGAAAAACTAAATTTTCGTCTTGAGATGGGCAGGCAGCTGTGAGAAAAACTAAGTGTTCGTTTGCAGATCCACGTGCCTTCGTGTCAGACCACATGAAGCGCAGCCATAGCAAACACTCCCTCAACACCTCAAGCTGGAAGTCTGCATCTTTCTCAAACCAAGGCATGACAACCATGATGTTGGCCACGCTCATCCGAACATGTTCTGCGCACAGGCTGGTCATGTCTAC